AGACAGGAATTTGAAGGAGAGCTGAAAATTTGGAAGGCGGTTTGGTGGGGCCAGGAGGTACATGTGAGATATGGTTATCACAGGCTGGATCCTCCATACGGATACCCAACAGAAGTGGGTTGTAGGGGCTGAACCAGGCTTCTCCACTGACAAGCATTGTGCTCTGGATGTGACCTCACCACTTACTAACTTCCACAAAAGTGCTGTCTGAGCTAGTAGAAGTTTTGGGAGATGAAGTTACATGGACTTTGCCGACAGGTAGGGTGTGTAAGATGGAAGGAGACAGTAGACCAGAGGAATTAAGATCAATAGAAGAGCAGACAGGCAGAATATGAGAAACCAAGGCATCTTTGTGCCTGGAGAGGTTGGTGGTCTGGTCTCAGGACTCCTGGGTATGGCCATGAAATGTCCTGGGGAGGAGGGGCAGTGGCCACAATACATCGGAAAGCTAGATGGTCAGCTAGCCCAGCACAGGCAAGTATATCACCTCCTTTTAAAAACTGATGGTCTTAATTACCTTTTCTAAAAGACCAGAAAGAAATATGGCAAATGATGAATAGTGGTTTTCTTTATGTAGAAGGAATACAAGATGCTTTCTCCCCTCTATTTTTCATATTTTCCATAAGGAGTATGGTTTGTTTTTTTAGAGGAGGAGCATATTAAATTCAGGAAAAATGAAGGCAGGATGCCAGCCTAGGCTTGGGATGAGTTGAAGGCCTCCAACCATTGCCCACCTAGCTCTCATTGTACCCTGTCCCTGCATAAACCCACCCCCTTCCCCAGAACACACATCTAATGGATTCCTTCCCACCCCTTTGTCCAGGAAGGAGATCCCATATTGCCAGCTCTGTCCCTCTAGCTGAGTTCAAGTAGCAGGAGAAGCCCAGGGGAGGCCTTGTGCAGCTCCCACTTAGAAAGTGAAGGACAGGGTGAGAGTGGCCAGATAAATACTTTCAGGGCACCCTGGGGAGGTGACTGCACCAAGGGGAGAGCCTGAGAGGTTTGCTTTGGCAGCTTGCCCCACCTGGGCTCAGCACAGCCTTGCACAGAACTCGGTGTTCCAGAATGGGTTTCTGGAAGGAGTTGTGGAGAGGACAGGGAAGGAGGGCCAAGGTGCTTGCTTGGTCTGTGTGTGCCCCAGTTGCCACCAGGTCCAGGACAAGGCCCACTGCCCTACCACCACCCATGCGGGGCTGCCAAGGAACTTGGGGCATGGAGGATCACCAGACCTCCTAGTTCCATGAGAGGAAGTGGCTTCTGCTTGTGACATTCAAATATACTCACTATAATGGGTATTTCAAGTTGGCACACACAGGGCGGGACAGATCATAAGGAATTTGTCAGAAAACCATAGAGAGAGCCAAGAACAGCCCTTAGCCCCTGACTTGGGGCCTCTACCAGGCACTAAGGCATTGGTGCTACTGTTCCCTGACCTTGAATTCTGGTCTCTCTAGGATGTTTTTATGCCAGGCCTTGCTGTCCTTCTGTCTAGGAGGACATGCAAGCACCAGTAAGCGGGTTGTTCGCCCCTTTATATAAGCATGACTTATGGAAGTCTAAATTTCCAGAACAGCTACATTGTGTCTTTGGCTTATAGAATAACTCAGTTATAAGATTCTTATACATAAACTTCCCATCTATCCAAAATAGCAAAGAGCAAGATACCTACAGCCATGTGCCTATGTCTAATCACAGAAAGCAAGAAGGGACTGGGGGCTGCGTAACTGAGATTTCAAGCAGACCTAGCATTTGGTGACACACGGAGGTTCCTGTAGTCTACTTATGCAGGGCAGTGAGCTGGCCAAGCCAAGGGCTGAGCCCTTACCCTGGAGTCTTACAATCCATTAGGATGATAGAAATCTGCCCCAAATAGGCTAGCTACACCTCTGCTGTTTGCATAGCTTGGGAGCCCATGGGAGTAGGGGGCTCACAGGACAGCCCACCACCCCCTGCCTATGGTAGCCAGCACCATGGCCTACAGGACAGACCCCTCGGCCCTAGCTGAGTTCCTTAGCTGCTCTAAGGGCCTTGCCCAGACTGGGTAGAGACCATTCTGAGCTGGGCCAAGTTAACCATTGACTGGGGCAAGGTGAAGGGATGGAGAGGGGCTGAGGGAGCAAGTCAGTTTCTATATTGTAAGACAAAACCCAGAGCTCCCCCCTTACACCCCGTGACCTGACACCCCTTCCCCCCTGCCCCTAGCCCTCTGCCAGACCCCTGTGTCACTTCTCCACTCTGGATAAGACAGGGATACCCTGGATAGGGATGGGGAGAGGTTCCCACCAGACAGCCAGAAACATCCTTAAGGCTGGGGTTGGGGGTAGGAGGTGATAGGTTCCAGTTCAGCAAGAGTTAATAGAGAATGGCTCCGGAGTGAAACTTTCCCAGAAGGAGCTCTGCTGGAGGCCTGGATGGTCTCCAAGTAGCCTATGGGATGAGCCCGAATTCTGCCTGCTCACCTGGGGAGAGATGGGAGCCGGCATGCCTGCGTTCCCCCTCCCCACTGGACTTGTCAGCCGTGGAGACGGAATGGGGTGCCTGACTATGCCTTGGTGTTCTCGCCCACCCACCCTCTGCCTGTACCTGCAATCCGGACTGCTGCGGGCTGGAGGCTGAGACCTTCCCTAGAGAAGGAGCTGAGGGTAGACGCTGCTTGGGAGGAAAGCTGGGGGAGCTGGGGATGCCGCCAGGGTGCCGAGCCAGTCGAGGCTGGGGCCAGGTGAGCTGGGTAGGAGCAGCTGTGCAGCAGGTGCAAGAGAAACAGGTGCGGGAGCGGGTACCTGCTCGCTGAGCCTCCAGGAGTCAAGGTGAACCTGAAACCCAGCCCCTCCCGGCTAAGTAAACAGAAGCAGAGGCCGGCTAGGGCTGATGAATATTCATCACCCCAGAAATCCAATCCAGTGCCCCTGCACCCACCCAGAAGCCAGGGTCCTCCAGAGACCGCCTAGCCAGGAGGAGGAAATCCCAAGGGGAGTTGTGCGTAGGGGGAACAGGGGAGCCTCTCTCCTCAGTTTCCTTACTCGGGTGCCTGATTGCACCTCCAGCTGTAGCCAAGGTCGTCCCGCCCCGTTTCATGCCCCAAAGAGGCTCAGACCCCTCTCCAGCACAGACCATGCCTGGACGTTGCTCCAGGCATGACCGGGAAGGGGTTAAGGGCCACTGCTCCCGTTGGCTGAGAGGGACAGGGTGCACCCAGCTCCTTTGAACTCCAGAGTCGAAACCAGTCCCTGGTTAAACTGGTTGGCAGACCGGTTCCCAGGCTGTCCGCTCCACCCCAAGTTCAGTGCTCCTCAGGCAGGCGCTGGATAGTGGGCTGTGGTTCACTCCTGACCTGAAGGGTCCATCCTCAAGATCTCCCTGAGTCAGGGTGGGACGAGGGCCCTGGACCCTCCTTGGGCCACGCTCTCCAGACCCACCACAACCTCAAAACTCCTCATCCCCTCCTCCCTGGCTTAGAGGTGGGCTTCAGGAGCCTTGAAATTATATGCAGAATATAGCCTATGTGTGGGGGCAGTGGGGCATTTTTTTTTTTCGCCTACAGAATCATACTCTTATCAGACTCTCAAAGAGAACTGTGATGGTCTCCCCACCCCCAAGGTAACTTCCCCCAACCGTCCAGCCTTCCCTTGATAGGCCTTACTGAGTATTATAAAGCAAGCAAAACCTGGGGCGAATTATCCGAGGAGGAGGGAGGAAGAGTTCCTGGTGGGGCAGGAAGAGAGGGGAAGGCAAGGAGGTAGAGTGTGTAGAGACCTTCTCACCTGATGGCATGACCTTCAGGGGCAGCCCACATCTGGGAATATGAAGTCCAGCCATTCAGCCCCATGAAGGACACTCTGAGGGGCAATATTCACTTCCCACCAAATTGACTGAAGTTTTGTCAGGCCTGCATTATTGTTAGATTTCTCCATCTGCCCAATCCTACTTCTGCCTGGCTCCTCTCACAGACATTGATCCCTAATAAACATCTTGCCCCCAAAAGCTCACCTATCTCTGGAGAACACCACCTATGAACAGACATTTTAATTTTTGCTAGTAGGACGGAAGTGAAGGGGTAATTATTTTACCTTTTATATTTACATTTCCTTAGTGTACTGGATTGAATAGTGCCCCACCCCCAATTTATGTCCACCTAGAACCCCAAAATGTGGCCTTATTTGGTAAACAGGGTCATTGCAGATGTAATTAGTTAAGATGAGGTCATACTGGATCAGGGTGGGCCCTAAATTTAAAGACTAGTGTCTTTATTAGAAGAGAGGCATGCAGGGAGATGGGCCATGTCATGACAGAAGCAGAGACTGGAGTGACAGAGCTCAAAGCTGAGGAACACTAAGGCTTGCCTGCCGCCACCAGAAGCTGGGCGAGAGGTATGGCGCAACTGCCCCCAGAGTCATTGGAAGGAATCAACCAACCTTGCTGACACCTTCATTTCAGACTTCTGGACTCCAGAACTGTGAAAGAATCTGTTTTTGATGGTTTGAGGCACCCAGTTTGTGGTAATTTGTTACAATAGCCCTGGCTTACTACACACCTTGTTTCTAGTAAGGTTGAACATCTTTTCATACATATATTGGCCATTTGGTTTTCCTGTTCTCTGAAAGAATCCTTTTTTCACAGTAGAAAAACTTCTCCACCTCCCTATCTGATTGTTGTCCTTCTAGTATGCACTAAAATACTACAAATTCATTTATGGATTCCTGGACCCTTTGCACAATTCTATAGCTTTCCAGGGATCTGCTGCCCACTGGTTGGGACTCCTGTCTACAGGATTAAATTTCAACCCTTTGTCATGGACCTGAGAGTTCTTCGTCATCTCCCCTAGCCAACATCTCTTCAACCTAATTTCTTTCCACTCTGCCTAAAAATATCCTGTGCTCCCATAATAAATTTCTTCTTCTGGAGGAGCCATGCTGTCTTTTACCTTGTCCTTTATCCACGTTATTGCCTCTTCCCAGAATGACGCCCATCACTTCTGCTTCTCTCCTCTTCCTTCTGCCACAATTCATTCCCCTTCTACAAGACTCAGCTCAAGTGTTACTCCACGCAGGAGCCCGCTCTGATGGATTTCCGTCCTCATCCCATGCCTTTACCCCCAGGTTGAGTTGGATACTCTCCTTTCTGTTTCCTTAGCGCTCTGAGCACACCTCTTATTTGGTTCATGTGGATTTTTTTAAGTACCTACTGAACATGAGCACGGTGCTAGGCTCTGGGCATTCTTTCATGGGATTTAGCCCTTCACACATCATACTATAAATTTCTTTGAGGGTTGGGGCTATGTCTTCTTGTTAAGGACCCAAGTTCCTTGGCAAATGGTGCTTGGCAAACTACCCATGAAGTGCATGGGAAAGAGACTGATAGATAGGTGGTTTGGTAGTGGACTTAGTTTTCCTTCCCTTAGAAAAGCAGATTCCCTCCACCTGCCATGATGGGGATGATGAAATAATAAAATGAAGTGGCATCCTTAGGAGATGACCCAATTCATGAGGCTACCCAGAGAGGAGTTTCCCCCCCGGAAGACTAACAAAGGTGAAGAGATGGTGAAGGCATGGCTATCTAGGGTTTAGGGTGCAGTCAGTGGCCCCAGAGCACGACCCAACTGGCTGGCCCCTCGTGGGCCTTCACTGGCCGGTGCTTGATTTGTGAAGCCAGCAGCCCTGATGTCTTCAGCCTGTTTTCCTCCCTCCAGTTCTAAGCGATTCAGCAGAGTTGACTCCAAGTCCTGAGCTGTAGAGAGAGGGATAAGAAAAACTGCTGGAGAAGCACAAACCCCTCCACCCAGGCCAAGTGATCCTGGTCCCCGCTCATCACTAACTGCCTTCACGTACATGCCACACCTTCTCTTACTCCTTTCTTTATAAGATCCATTAAGCACCTGACACTCAATGTCAGGTGTCATAAAGATAAAAGTACTGGGGTTAGAGGTGAACAAGCCTGTCCTTCCCGCCCACAAAGTGCTCACAGACTAGTTGAGGAGATAGACTGAAAAAACAAAACAACAAAACAAAACAAAAAACCCCGACACAGATTACTCCTGCAAACAGCAGGAGGCCCAACTGAAGCTGCCGAGTTTCCAGGGCTTTCAGCCCAGCAGGCAGATATACCACACACACACACACACACACACACACACACACACACACACACACACACGTGCACACACCACAGTCAATGTGACTGTGAGCAAACACACAGAAGATACAGACCATAAAGTAATAAGCATATGGCAAATTAAAAAAAATGGATTATTTGATTATGAGGGGTAAACTTGCTTTTTATAGACATTGCAGGAAGATAAGCAATGGGTGTTCTTGCCCAGGATGGGTGTGGTAAGAAAGAACTTTGGAATAAGGCAAGGACTATAGGGTGGGGAGTTCTAAGTATCTCGAGGAACAACTGGGGAGAAAGTGGGAGTCTGGCTGAAGGGGAGGGAAGAAGAGACCTGGGGCTGTGGTGGCTGAGCTGCAGGAGGGTCAGGCAGGGCTGTGGGAGAAGCCATACCCTAGAGAACAAGAGTGCAGGCTACGGAGCCAGACAGGCCTGGGATTGAATCCCAGCCCCACTAACTCCTAGCTGTATGATCTTGGACAAGCTACTTAATGATCTAAACTTTGGCTTCTCTGCCTTTAAAATCTGGCTAATCATAGTACCCACATTATAAGGTTGTTGGAAGGATCAAATTAGATAAGGCTTGTATAACATTTAGATCTACACTGGCCTGAGGCACATGGTTATCACTTAATAAGCAAGCTGACAACAACAAAGGGCGGCAAAGCAGCCTGCATACACAGTACCCTGGGGCTATGTGCTCTCCCGTCCCAAGTTGGCACAAGCCTGCTATGTCCTCCCTACCTCTCTACATGTGCTCCTCTCCCCCAGACGGTGTCCTCTGCTAAATCATCAGAGAAGTGAGAGATTCATAGAAGCATCCCACATCCTCTCCCCGCTACTTTACAGATGCTGGGAGCCCCAAGGACCTCGTGCACACGCCACATCTTCTCTTATTGGTCTGCCCTGGATGCCAGACCACTTATGTGCTCATCTGCCCATAGGCCCTGAAGTTATCTATGACCCTGAAAAAAGACAAACAGAATACTGCCCAAGCCCACACTCCTATGCAATCTGGGGCAGCCCCCCTGAGGCCAGCAGCCTCTCAGAACTGTCCTTAAACATCCTTTTGTTCCATGAGTCACTCAGGGTACTACAGGTGGGGTTGGGTGCCAGTGGTCTCTGCCTCCACCAACTCACCTGGACTGGGCCTTCCAGACTCACCCTGCCCTGCTCTGTCCTGCCTGCTGATTCAAGGAGGAGAGATGCACCTTGAGGATAAGGTAGGGCCATGCTTCCCAGGATACCCCAGGGAGCCAGGAATACAGTTGGAGCCCAGAAAGTGTTTGTTTAATCATGGGGGAGCCCCAGCAATTCCTACAGTCTGAGTCAGGACCTGAAATGAGAGCCAAATTCTCGTGAGAGAGCCTTGAAGAGGCCCTTAGTTCTGCCCTATGAGCCATCTCAAGGAAGTCATTCAACCCATTTTATAATGATTAACGTTTCACACACACGTACACACAGAGCTGACAAAGCATGAGAAACTATATTAAAGCATGTTATAAACTGTAAAGAGTTATATACATCTAGTATGTTTATTTTTCTAGCATATAAACAGAAATACACTGAGATAGAATAGTGCTATCTCCATGTTAAGGAAATTGTGGCTGACAGAGAGGTTATTGAAATGATCTAAGATCTCACTAAGCAGAAATCTAGGTCTTCTCACTACTGTATCATCCTATACAATTCAATAAAAAATTTACTGCGTCCAAAGTGCTGTGCCGAGGAGGAGGTGGGGGTTCATTTAGAAAAAAACAGGCAGAGCTTCCTATGGGAGGAGCACAAAATGGCACACCCAGCCCTGTGAAACCCTGGGGATCTGTCCTCAGCCCACCCCCTCTCCTCACTCTACCCACTTCTCATGCCCCCTCTTAGCTTCAGCTACTACAGTTATAGACCCCAGTGCCTCCTACACACTTTCTACATGGGGGTCCCCCTGCACCACTAATCCCACAAATTCAAATCCAAAATCCCCTCCTCCCCAACACCTGTTCAGCATCCTGCACCCCTGTCTCAGGTGATGGCTCTTTTATTCAACCCTCTAGGTATTGTCCTTGCTGTCATTCTCCCCACCCCCACCCCAACACAGCCATTTGATTGCCGAGTCCCAGAGGTTAGGTCAGGCCCTAACCTCTGCATAATAACCGCCTGACAGTCTCCTGTCTCCAGTCTTATCTCTCATGAATCCATCCTCCTTGAAGGCAATCTGTACAGGTCCCTCCCTGCTTCAAACCCTTAAAACCCTCCAGTGGTTCCTCTTGGCTGGGGTGAAGTACAAGTTCTTTAAAGAGGCTCCCCATGATAGGACCCTTCCACCTTCACAATCTCTTCTCTGGCTACTTACTCCCTGCCTCACACCTTTTAGTGCACAGTAGCGAGCCTGCCTGCAGGGCCAATCTCATGAGCATGAGACCTATGCAGTGCCCACTGGAAATTCTTCACATTTTTTAACAAGGGGCCCCACATTTTTTAACAAGAGGCCCCACATTTTCATTTTGCACTGAACCCCACTAATTATGTTGCTGGCCCTGCCGGCCTGTTGTTCTCTGTACCCCTCTTGCAGTTTGTGGCCTCCAAAGCTTTTGTCTGTACAATCTCATCCACCCGCCTTGAGGACACCCCTTCCGCACATTACCCCTCTTTCGCAGCTCTTCCTTTAAGACTCAATTTCCGTGTTATCTTTGCGATGCCTCCCTTGACTTTCCTCTCTCTCCTTCCCTGCCCTAATCACCTAACACGCAGCAGGTGCTTAATACAAGTCTATTAGATAAAGTGAATGGGAGGGCAAAGTGTGACAAGTGACACAAGAAATCTACAAACCACGAGACTTAAAGGGAGGGAAGGCTGGAAAGGCATTTCTAACGGCCTCGAGGCTACGCAACTCGGCGCTAGGACCCGGCCAGCAGACGTGTATATCCGTGCGCAGAGGGCCAGCACGGCTGGGATCGGCTCTCGGGCGCCGCCTGCCGCCATCGCGCCGCCGCTGCAGCCCTCTCCTGGCGCCCCGCCCCTCTCCGTCCCTGAGCCCGCCTCGCATCTCCCATTGGCTGTCTTCTGTTCTCCCGCCCCTCCCGGGCTCAGCCATTCGGAGCCCCGGGGTGGTGGGGCTTGCGGCCAGGGGTGGAGCGCGCGCCCCAATTGGCTCTGAAGAAAGCGGCGACGTGGCTGGAGGAGGCCGGTTTGTCGCTAAACTGAGACTCTGCCAAGCCAGCGCTGGATTTCTAGTGGGCGGGGCGGGCCTGGGTCGTCGGCCGGAAGCGGAAGTGGAGGAAAGATGCAGGTGGGGGTACGGGAGCTGGGGAAATGGGGGGCTAGCCTGGGGTCCCTGGACTGGGTTCAGCCCGTCCTTCCCTAACCTGCTTCCTCGGCCTCTCTCCTGGGCGGGCGCAGTCTTCCCCAGCTCGTCGTTTTTGCCTCGCAGTGTGGCAGTTGTGCCCGTGAAATGAGCGCGCGAGTGGCACGCCCCTTCCCTGCGTTCACACCCCGATTTCTGTTGTGTTTCCCGCTAGGACCATCAGCACGTGCCCATCGACATCCAGACCAGCAAGCTGCTCGGTAGGCGGGGGCGCCCCTGCGCAGCCGCTTGTTTTGAGGAGTCCCGGCCCTTTGCCGCACCCTGTTGCCAACAGCTGGGAGCCTTGATGCCCCCAAGGCCCCTGTTGAGGCACTGACCAGTCGCCATGTTCAATGTCTCCATTTGTGGCGGAGCTGCCTTGTAACAGGAGCTGGAAGGAACCATACACAGAGTCTGTACTTGACCAGCGTTTTCTACTTTAACATTTGTAACATGTGCTGTCAAATCATATTCAGGCACAGAGAGGGGGTAATAGCTTCCTGTAAAGAAGACGGTCATGTACTGAGTGACAGATCTGAAATTAGAACTTAAGTCTGTCTGTCAGGCTCCAATGTCTGTGCCTTTTTTATTATGCTGGGAAAAACTCTCCTTCCTTTCGTTTTATTTATTTTTTTAAAAATTTATTTATTTGTTTTTATGGTGACATTGGTTAATGAAATCCAATAACTTTCAGCTCCTTTCGTTTTAAAAGCTTCCATCTCTCCTTGACTCCAGGTGTAAGAGGGACATAGACCCAGTTAGAGATAAAGACCTGTTAGTGGCCGGGACACCTCGCTGCTGTCTGTATCTGATCTACATACCTCCGTCCCAGTTCAGGGCCAGGGAAGGGCCTCTTCATTCTGACTCCTCCAGGGCAAGTGCACAGCTCCTGGGTTTTTAAATGCTCATTGGATTAATTGATTTGATGCCAGTTTTGTCAAGATGACGCCTATCTCACTACCTCGTTCCTTTGCTTCTAGTTCCATGACATCCGCAGAATTTTGCTTCCTGAAAAATTTAAAGGAATACAGCAGAGGGAGTATAATGATAACTAGTGTGGGACCCCAGTGTTTGACCAGTTGGCAGGTTTATTAACCAGGAAATGTTCTGAATTCACCACTGTGGGCCATTTAATCAGTCCTGTGTGGTGGAGCTTCTTTAGATTCATTTCAGATTTGTTTCAGTTCTTTAGCACATGTGCAGTTTTGGTATATGTTGTTGGTCATGAGAGGGACCAATAAAACAACAACCATTCATTGAGGGTTTGCTCTATAGCAGGTGCTGTTTTAAGCACTTGACATTGTAAAAATGAAGATCACTAAGATTTATTGATCCTTGCCATGTGCCAGGCATGGTGCTCAGTGTTTTATCTGCATTCCCCCTTGTACTCGGTATCTTATTCCCATTTACATATGGGAAACCGAGGCTTAGAGAGCTTGAGAGACTTGCCCAAGAGAGTTAATAATTAGAAGCCAGGACCATCTGACCACAAAACCTAGCTCTTAGCTCCCGCCTACTGAGAAAGCATGCATGGCTATCAGCTACTCACATCCTCCTCTAAAAACACAAATCTGGGCCCAAACTCCAGGAGGTCAGTCACGTGATCAGTCACATGTGCAGGCTGGTATTTCACTGGGTGGAATAGACCAGTGCTATCTAGTCCTTAAGGCACTATAGGTATTAAAGGCTTTGCAGTTGTTCATTCATCCAGTATTTGGCATAACCATCTGTATTTTCCATTGTCATGATTAATCCCAGCCCTGAGGAAGTGGAAGTTGCACAGCATCCTTTGTCAGTAAGAAAGATATAATTACCCATAGAAGCCAAAATATTATGGAGAATTTAGAGTGGTCAAAAGTAGCACTTTGATGTCAAGATCAATTTAAAGTTTTTTTTTTATACCCGTGTCAAGGCAATTGCTCTATGAAGTAGGCTGCCAGAGTCTGTTTAGCCCTAAGCACCCCTTTGGGCCTGTCTTTACTCCTATCTCCCCTTGACCTTCACACCTTAACCAATATGAATACAACTTTCAGCCAATATTTTAGTGTTTTTTACTTGAATTAGTGATGGAATTTTGGCCATATGAATGGGAACGCTGTGATCTGGGTGTTTCTCGCAGATTGGCTGGTGGACAGAAGGCACTGTAATCTGAAATGGCAGAGTCTGGTGTTGACGATTCGAGAGAAGATCAATGCTGCCATCCAGGACATGCCAGAAAACGAAGAGATCGCCCAACTGCTCTCTGGATCCTGTGAGTGCTTTGGGCTACCTTACTGGGACCTCTTTCCTGAAGCAGTATATAGCAGCTAAGCTGCTCTCCTGTTGTTTAGTCTCAGGGCAGACCCTAGAGAAAGATTTCTGTTTGGGCATAGATGCTGGTTTCTTCCAACACAAACTGATGAAGGGCAGAGCTAAATGCACATGGCCGACCCACGCTAAAATTCCTGACACATACATGGGTCAGCCATGTGCATTGGCCAGAGTAGGTGGGAAGATACTGGAATTCTTAAAGTCTTACTTGCTTTCCAGACATTCACTACTTCCACTGCCTGAAAATCGTGGACCTTCTCAAAGGCACTGAAGCTTCCACGAAAAATATCTTTGGCCGGTACTCTTCACAGCGAATGAAGGCAAGTGTGGGCGAGGGTGGTAATGGGACCAGAGCCTCTCTGGTCTCTCTGAGGATCAGGTGGAGATGCCTACATGGGATGCTTCCTGCACTTTTTCTCTGTCCCTATAGTTTATGCCAAAAGTAGCTCCTGCCCCGGGTGTACATTTCAGACCTGCTGCTTTGGGAATTGCTCGTTGGCACCATGCTCTTACAGTAAAGCGGGTGGTCCAGCCAGCCTCACAAAGGAGGACGAGGAGTTTGTGTTTGGTGTGATACGAAAGCTTCCCCCGTTTGGGGATTGAGCGGGCATGTGGCTGCTGAGTGCTGTTCTCGCTCACTTTCTGTCTCTGTTCTTCCCCAGGACTGGCAGGAGATTGTAGCCCTGTATGAGAAGGACAACACCTACCTAGGTAGAGTGGCCCAGCCTGGGTGTCCTGGCGTCTGTGGGGAAGCCCACTCCTGGAGCTGTGAGACACTAGGCTTCTAGGAGGCACAGTCCGTGTCGGGGAAAGAGGTTGGGCTGTAGATGTTTGTAAGGTAGGAAAATAAATTCCACAAAGAGTGTTGGGAAGAGGAGAAGGACCAGGCAGGTAGCAGGCATTTGCTGGGCCTGACGCAGCCGGTGTTTGTGGGTCCTCCACCACTGACCTCTTGGTAAGGTGGACTGCAGGGTTCTCACCCTCTCTGCAACCCCATTCTCTACTAGGCAGAAGACGCATGGAGCATCCTTGGGGCTATATTGGGTCCCTGAGAGGGTAACTAAAGGGCTGATTATAGTTTGGGTGTTTTTTCTAATAGTGCAAATAATAACAATAATAGCTACTATGTATCAAGCACCTATTAAATAGAAACAATTGTACTTGGTATTTTACATGGCGTCTCTTTTTTAATCCTCACAGTAAATATGATTGTCCCTGTGTTACACGTGAGGATTGGGTTAGAAGGGTTAAATGGCTGTCTTAGTTTCCACAACTAGAAAGGGAAGGAGCTGGGAGGCCACCCCCATGCTCTTCGCCACCGTCTAGGGTATATGTGTGCCTGGCCTGGGGCCTGCTTGCCTTACGGTGTAGGTGTCTGAGGTGAATTTCCTGGGCCCTCCTCAGTGGAACTCTCTAGCCTCCTGGTTCGGAATGTCAACTATGAGATCCCCTTGCTGAAGAAGCAAATCGCCAAGTGCCAGCAGCTGCAGCAGGAA